CTCTTGAATTATGTAATATCTATATTAAATGAATTTTTTGTATAATATTATTGTAATTCCGATATTATTAAAAAATTCAAATTCTATTACCAAATTTGGCACCAATATAAAACTACTCTAATTTTAGGTTTCATGTAATAGCGATAGCGATAGAGATTATATAAAATTTACTTTATCGATATATATTTATAAACTGGTTTTTAAAAGATTTTAATTTCAAGTATGAAAACCGAATTACGATAACAGTAATTAAAACACTATATTCGATATATCAAGTTATTATCTCAAAAACCTGATTATACGAATCTGATATTAATATAAGAAAGTACTCCAATTAAAGCTCAGCAAATGATTTATATTGGCCAATCAAACGAATGGCACAAATTTGACACGTAATTGTAAGTGATACGAACTTTTGTCTGTGATTAGTTACTTACGCGGTGTATCTTGTGATTGTTCAAATCCAAATGATACTACGCTTCGGACAATAATAATTATGTATTGTTAAGGTGCGTTAGACAAGAATATTAGTTTAAAAAATGGTCAATTCTGAAAAATAAGAGTAATAGAAGTTTAAGTTGCAAAATAGACTTAGTAAATTGGTGTTTATAAAAATTCATTTTCAAGCATATATTATTTTCAATCACATTATAAAGGCATAATAAAATTTTTCTTTCAAAAATTAAAAAGTAAATTCTAACTATCAAAGCCACTGAATGTTATTGTAATAGTATATACAGATTTCTTAAACCAAGTGACCGATTTCTAAATCTTTTTTAGTGTTGAATTCACTACAACTAATTTCTATTTCGCATTTCTTCCAATCTACTTTTTACTTGTGAAATTGTTTCCAAAAATTTATGTCCAGGAACAAATTCATCGATCCAGCACCAATAATATCCTGTTGATTTAAGGTCACTTTTTAGATTATTAATCATTTTTAAAATTTGTTGATAGTTAAAGGCTTCAAAGTCTAGATAAACGAAGATAAAAAATTTTAAAAAGGCATTCTTTTCAATTGATGATTTCTTACTGATTTTATTATTATAAGCTTCGATATTTGTGAATTTGTTAACAGAATGTATATCATTAAGTTCTTCATCAAGTTTCAAAAATATTTCGTCAATTAATTTTTGAGTCTCTAAGTTCGGCAAAGAGTTGTTTGATCTTAATAGAATTTCCAATGTAGATTTCATTAATTCAAAGTCCTTTCTTAATTTCTCTATTTGATTTTTTAATTCAGTGTTTTGATTTATCAATTCTGTTAATTCCTCTGTTATTTCAATTCCTTCATCGCTATTAATAAATTAAGTATTAATACTGTATACATTTCATTTAATAGCAAAAATATAATATACTCACATAGCTTTGAATTTGAATTTTTTTCAAGAGCTTTCAGCATAATTAACCTTGCGTTTATTTTTTAGTCTTGCACTCTGATATGCTTTATGATTTGATCCTATAAGGCGCTTTTCAACAATTTTTTTGAGAATCTGTTCAGCATGATTTTTTTCTCCAATTTCTTGATTTACATCAATTATTTCTTTGGAATTCATTTCAATAATTTCTTCGGTATCAGTTTCTGTTTCTTTTAGAAATTAATTATTAATTCTCTCTTTTATAAGGTTATTTATTTTATATTGTCATTTCTTACCTTGAGAAGATATTAAAGAATCTGAAAAATTAAGTGGATACCTTAAAGCTCTTTCTTGATTTCCTGGAATATGGCCATCATCAGTTCTTAAACTTTTTTTCAATCTTGTCATCTTTTAAATGTTTACACAAATTTACAAATAATAATGATTTATATTTATTTTTTAAAAATTATTCTACAAATCAATGATATTTTATAATTTTTTTTTTTATATTGACTGAAGTCTTATGCTATTGATAACAATTCACTAATTGAATAACTGTGATATATAATTTCTAATTGAATAAAATTGCTTTTCACTTATCGATATCAATAACTATTCTGAGCTGCTATAAGGATTGGTCAGCGTATGACTTATTTGTTGAATTATGCTATCTAGTGTGATCAACAAATAAAAATTAATTTATGTTAATTATTTAATTTCTTAAAGTAACGTTAACTAGTATAAATATTTCCTGAGTATAAAACATATTTAAGCCAAATATAGGCACTAACATAAAAAGAATCTTACTACTTTTTTTACAGCTTAGAGAAATCTGATTATCATTATATTAATGTAATACGCTTTAAGCCAACATTGGCATTAAATAAAAGGCATTCTAATATTTATGTTTTATGCATTTTAAGTAAAATTATATTATTGAGACTTAAGCAAATAAATAATCTAAAGATTTGCAGGTTCTTGTAATTTTACTTTACGTTTTTAATGTAAAGTTATAATAAAAATATAAAATAACAGAATATTAGTTTTATCTCCAAGTTTTATGTAATCAAGTTTATTTACTAATTCTTGATGCACAATAAAATTAAAAAGATCAAATAGTAGTTGGATATGTTCCATTGAATTTATTTATAATGCCTAAAATTGGTCGTAAAAAAACAAAAAAATGACTCGATACCAAACGAGAAAACACGTAAAGTCTAATAACAGTAACCTTGAAGACAATCTAAAAAAATTTTTGGATGAGCACATAAAATTTTTACAGAGAGACAAAAGGCATGTTGAAAAGTTTTTTAGAATAAATAGAATTCAGGGTGAAGATTTAAAAGAGAAATTAAACGAATTACAGAAAATAATCGTTGAAAGAGAGTCGTTCAAGGATAAATTAAACTTATATCAAATAACAACAGAAAAGAGTACGAAGTTGATAAGAAAATTACATGCTGAAAAACAGGAGTTTTCTAATCAGATTCAACAATTAAAAAGTGAAAATGACGACCTTAAGCTTCAAATTGATAGTTTTAAACAATATCTTCAGTATCAATCAATGCTTGATAGTAGAACAATAGAGAATCTCCAACATGATGTAAATATATTAGAGAGTCGTGAAGAAATTTTTATAGAGGAATTACAAAATAGAGGTAAATATAATTTGATCTAGTACACATACTAAATTAAAATTAATGATAAACATCATGAATAGGATATCGTACTACAGCGAGATTGAGAAGAGAAGATGTGTTTGTAATACACGATGATGACAATGACAATGGTTTAGGAGGTAAGCGATAACAATTTGGAAATAGATATAGAAGATTAAAAAAAAGCATTAATTTTGTTTCAATTGATATGTCAGTTGTGTGGGTAATAAAGTTTCTCAGATATATCCTTGATTTTTCATCACATGAAACTGAAATATTATTATAATATCAACCGGACCAACCTATACTACCAGTATTTTCGTGCCAGTTTTGTGTATCAGCCTATTAAAGTCATCAAATAGCACACCGACCTATAAAAAAATAATAATAAAATATTAAATAAACAGTAAATAAGAATGGATAAAAATAAAATAATATATAAAAAGAGTTACCTATACCACCGGTATTTTCGTGTATGTTATTCTTTTTGATAGGCTGATGTTAAAGGTTCTATGTGAGAGAAGTAAAATAAGTATATGACGAAGAATAAAATTTAACATAACAGTT